GAGGCCAGCTCTTTGCAGGTGCCCCCAGTGACAGAACCTGAAACGGCAGCAAGGGTGAGTGACATGCTACAGCACAATCACGGTTCAAACGACCATGAGGCTCGATCTTACATTTGAAAGTTTCACTAACTCGTTAAAGAAAGACAAAGAATTACTCTGATAGGCACTGTAGTTCTGAGGAGTCTGGCGTTGGTACAGTCAACTAGAGAAAATCTGGCACCCCCCAAGAAAGTGAGCAAAAACATTAATATAACATGGATAATACAATTCTAATTTTCCTACAATGTTTGGAGAAACTGCTAACTATTCATTTAATAAAAATTATTCCTGCAAAAGTGTTGTTTTATCTTCAGAATGGTTTACTCTGTCAAAAATACGTGGCAGAACTGTTGGCACCCAGAATACTATAAATAAAACAAAAAAACACAAAAGAAAAAAAAGGGGAAAAAATGTTTCTTTGTTGTCCATGACCATTATATTACCTGCATATTACCCTCACGCACAGTGAGGAGGATTCTGAGAGGCAAAGCAAAGCCCAGAGATCAGTTTCACAACTGCAGTGTTTAACTGAATCTTGGGGGGGGGTTTCATGGTTTAAAAATCAGTGAGTCACCACCCTCCACGTCCAGAAGCTTTTTGAATTAAGGTATTATAACGGCCTTCTCAGTCTCCAGACTTGAACTGAAAATCTGCGGTCGCAATTTTGAGGGACAGTTCACAAGAGAAAACCTATGAATCTCCATGAGTTGGAAATGTTCTGTGTGGAAGAGTGGTCCAAGATCCCTGCACATGTGTTCTCCAACCTTGTTAATTAAACACTGGAGAAAGAGGTAGAGTGCTGTCATTCTCACCAGGGGAGGCTCCACCAAAAACTGACATTTGAGGTGCTAATGATTTTGGAATTTGCATTTTTTAATAAAAATAAATGCTACTAAAGGAAAACATTATTCTGTTCCAAAAATCTGTTTGAAAATAAAAGCATGAGACTTACCCAGTTGTTTAATCCCAAAAAAATCACCTATTGCATGTGTAGATCTTTTCATATATTAATTTTAGCTCATTTTCATAAAGGGTGCCAATAATTCTGGAGCTGACTGTAGCTTGGTCACAGCATGTCTTAATGTGTGCCATTAGTATTAGCTGCAATCTGAAAGGAACACAAGTTTTCTGGCAAAAGAATCCGCATCACCCAGATGCTTAAAGGGCTGGAAGCATAATCGTCGAACTGAAGCATAAGAACTGGTTCTACAGCGCATCTTCAAAAATCTAAGTCCTACTCCCAAGACAGTATTACAGCAATTTTGTTTCCAAATGACAATACTCAAGTTCAGAGTGTCCGGCGGCTGACTAAGCAAACTATGGTGCTTATGAGGAACGTTCTGCAATATTAAATTGTCACTGACAGAGTAATAAAGATATGCATCCACTTTGGCATACTAGTACATTCCATGTTCCAACATGCTTTCAAATTTGGGGTTTAGAGACAAGTATACAGAAAACCCAAAAACATCAAGACGAGAGCCACGTGTTGACCTCCATAGATGATCCTGACAGAGTTGGCCACAGCCTCAGAGATATTTGTAGCCATCCACTGCCTGAGCTTTTCGTGGACCTCCTGGGCCTGAGCATAAGGCATTGGGAAGGTTAGAGAAGCAGGTCAGGGAACCATTGACTACTGAAAATTTGACACTAGTGATTCAAATCTAAACATCTTCATGATTATGTACCGCAAGATGACTTTTTGATCTGCATGACAAAAGCATGCATGCAATCTCAGTAAAGACGTGCTTCATGTTTACCTGTTGTGGTGAGGCAGTTTTCCCGGTTCCAATGGCCCAGACTGGTTCATAGGCAATGACCACTTTGCTCCAGTCCTTGACATTGTCTAAAACACATAAGGTTAACAGGTCAGAATAAAATCCTAAAATCAGCAGGAATGGGGTGTGGGGGTGGGGTGTAAATTTTATTGACAGTCTGGGTCAGTAGTACCATTGTTACCTGGAGCTCCAAAAAGATCAGAACCACTTTATATTCAAGTCTGATACTCCTCAAATTACAATGAATTGGCAAGTTGCAGCAGAATGTTTCAGTGTCCAAGGAGGAGGTTTGGGGACCCTATAGCCTGAACCATATAAAACGCGAGCAACCATTAGCATTTCCTCCAGTACCTGCGATGACCTTGGTCTGTGCAAAGACGACCTTCTCGGTTATTCCAGCCTCTCTCTCATCCAGTTTCTCGCCGATGCAAGCAATCACACCCAGGCTACTCTCCAATGCATGGGCCACCTTCTGGCCAATCAGCTGTAACACATGAATAGTATTAGAGTGCATAAACAAAAAGCCCCTTACAGTACAAGGTTAAAAAGGCCGCCCATGCAGTCCGTACCTCATCGCTCTCGCCAAACACATGGCGTCTCTCGGAGTGGCCCAAGATCACCCACTCCACGCCACAGTCCTTAATCATCGCAGGGCTGAAAGCAAGACAAGGGAAGCTCAGAGTTTAGGGGCGTGAGTGGTTAAACAATAGACATTGATGAGCGGTACAGACATCGCACCTGATCTCCCCAGTGAAGGCGCCCTTGGCAACCTTGTAGCAGTTTTGTGCGGCGACACCGATCTTTGAGTCCAGCTTCGACCTAGCAAAGTCAAGGTAGATCGACGGAGCACCACAGACCACCTCTACAGACATGAGACAGACACACCATGAGATCACACATCAGTGCCAGGTCTACAAGCTCCACTAACATTTCCAGCGCTGAAACACATATTACTGTCAATGTCCAATGCAACCAGGCAGTGCTTAACAGCTCTGATTAACTACATTCTCCAATGATGGCCAAGAGCACATGCAAGTGTTAAAGAAAGCTGGCTTTAATATCAAAATCAAGTACAAATACAGAATAAAGCAATTTCATTACTTTCACATTGGCTTTGGAACAGATTTAGAAATCAGTTTAATAACCTACAGAGAGAGCAGAGTATTATCCAACAGAAAATCTATAACTGATTATGTTCTGACTATGTGTACATTTCAATACAACCTGCACCACTAGTCACATGGATTGGGGGATGTCAATTAAATTAAAGATATTACATGCGTTTGTGATGCGGCTGATTTTACTAAAACAAAAGGGGAAAAACAAGCATGCACAGTACTGGAATGGCAATAGCTTTGCCAGACGTTTTTTACCGGTAGAAAAAGGAATTATGGCAGCCGTTCAGCTGCCCATAGGAATCCAACAATATGCCTGAATAGATTACAGTACCACACTATTTCAGTCCTGTGCCAGACTGACACTGTCAATATGACGGAGTCTTGGGTCAAGTGAGTCTATATTAAACCATGTACGTTTGACATCTCTGTAAAGGTCATTCATCCAGCTCCCTTGGCAAAAAAGGGGAGAGTTCAATACGGAAATGTCATCCCAGAAGCTACATTTAGCCAGGGCCAAAGAACAAAACGAAAGTTTTAATCTAAAAACTTAACCAATTCCCCACACAATGCTACGACCTACAATACAAAACATGCGAACGCTGAAGGTTATTCAACGTTTGTGCCGTATCTCACACAAACGCCTACGGGCAGCTGGGTAGGGACCCACGAAAAGTCAGGACCGAAATAGCCGGTCAAAGTTCAATCCTGCGCTCCATGTCTAATTCTTGCCGCTACTTTTATCGTGTGCAGCTGTCAAGATCGAAAAAGCAGTACACACAAGTACATCTCCAAAACTTAGGTTAGAGATCCAAAAGATGCGGACACCGTTAAGATCATGAAATTTCGATCGCGAAGATCGAGGCTTCAATTAATAATAAAAGAAAAAATGCAACAATGCATATCGCTACATAATTTTTTGCCGTCGAAGCATGCAGTAAAATACAATGAATGTTCGAAAAGAAAACGCTCAAATACGGAGGAGCAGCATGAGTGGCGTAAGTGGCGTATCCTACGATCACAGCGTAAGAGCGTCGTACGCGGTTCACTACGTGATCCGGGACACACACGCCATCTCAACTGGAGATGCAACTTCCCGTTATACATCAGCCAGGCTACTGACCCATACATTCCCACCAGATACGCCATCACCAGAATCAAGCTGTACATATTCTACATACCGGTGTCAGGGTTAAGTGTGGCTGTGTTGAGGGTATTTATGAGTTCGCCTAAGCTTTTCTTGTCACCATTCATCTTCCAGTTTCCACCAACGAAGAATTTCCTCGGCGACATGGTTGACACGATACTAAAGGTAAATGCGGCCTGCGTTTGACGTTAAACGTGCCGGTACCCGATAACCCAGCGTAAGACAGAGCGGATGCTGACTGCAAGACCGCAGCTTATATGAACGTCCTGCCTCCGTCTCCGCCGTTTTATGTTTCCATTGGCCGAGACGAGGCACGCCCACCATCACTTCCTTATATGGTATGATATGGGTGAGGCAACGTGACGTCCGACGCAACTCCATTTCGCAGCCATCTTCTGAATTCACGCTTGGGTAGAAGTGTGTGTATACCGATGCAGCCCAACACCTATGATAACCGCATAAGCAGAGTTCACATAAAAAGAAACTTTCTTGTAATAAAATCGGTTTTAGAAACGTTGAGCAAAATGATTCCCTCGGTGAATCTGCTGATTTTATTTCCTAAAATACAGTCTGAGTAAATACGCTTACAGACAAGAACGCAAGCAGTTTTGACTGAACGTACTTGAAATAATTTGCATACCCATCATCCCTTTCGAGTATACGATGAATATTTTTTAGCAAGGAGATACATATTTTAAATGTCATTTTAGCGGATATATTTATGTAAGAACTATGCACATTTTAAATGATGCATAGTTTCGCTAAATTCCGAATGTGTCATTTGAGCGTTGGTTCTTTGCTGGAATCACTGTGCATATAAACTGTGTGCTCTTCGTTTTAGTATTTGTCTGAAAGGTTTCTTCTATGTTGATACATTTCATTTTTTTTAAATGAGTTTATGTGTCAAACATCAAAATTTATTTTTTTAACATTAGTGTTAGTATGTCACTGCTGCAAACAGCCTCTAAGTTTTTAATATAGTTGTTGTTGATTGCTAGGCTTACCACTAGGTGGCGGAAAAACTTTGCCAATGTATTCTTAATATTCCACTTACAAGCTTGATATATTGCTGAAACCAAGAAAAATCTTTAGGTATAAAGTTTTCACATTTATCACCACTAGATAAATAAAGAATAAATAGCAATGCAAAAACATCCGGCGAAATATCTAGCAGTATGTCTATAATATATATTGGAAAAAGTCTCATTCAGATTTCTTCCTGAAATATTAGGTAGCCTCATCAGTATCTTATCTCTTGCTATGTGTTTTTCGTTTAGAGTGGGCTATATCCCTTATAAGATCAGATGTTGCGAAATCGGGTGAAAGCTACAGGCTGTCAGGAGGGGTAGGAGGAAGACGGAGATGGAGTGAGCGAAAGGACGGGTAAAGGAGTGTCGCATGGTCCGCGGCGTGCACATTTCACGGAAACGCCGCAGCTGAGAACTTCCGGCCCGCGAAACATGGCGGCTCCCTGGATGGAGAAGTTATCGGAATCGTTGGGCTCTTCAGAACCTGCGGTCAGGTTGATCTTGTCCGTCCTAATCGGTAAGAAGGACCCGATCCATGCTGGCATCCCGGGCCACACTCCGAACTCCTTTCACAGCAAAAAGGGGGAAAAAAACACGTGCAGCTCTGTATAAGGCTGCCAGATTGTCAGATATAGTTAATCGTTTCCCTACATCTGCACTAAATATTGAGTATGGGGATTGATTTCAGCGCCGAAGGGACACGTTTGGTGAGGGGAACGCGCGCTTTCGTTGATGTATAGTAGTCTAAAAAGCAATGGGGAAGATGATAGCTGCCATGTTTAACTGCTGGCAGACTAAGTTCAAGTGATGGCTTAAGTCATTCTTCTGAGTCGCTGCCAGCATAGACCATTAGATACATAGCGTACGTGTCGTTTTGATGGGGTGTGGTGTTGGTTGAATGTCTAATGTGCCCTGGACGTGGTCATCAGCCGATCTCCGCTTTTTATATGCTGGGCGAGGCAAAGCGATCACCTCGGACTTTGCCCTAACACGAACACATTTTCAATAAACTCTCAAAGTGACGTGCAGCCTGAGAGTGGCTCACGTTGCAGGTATTGACAAGTCCGGCGTACATACTGTCAGTCAGTTTAATAAACATTAATTGTTCATTTTTTTGCGTAGTTTAAATGAATGAATTTATTTTGAGCCCCGTGAGTATGATGTACTCTGACCACTGGCAGCTTTTGGCGAATACACATGCCCTCCTCCTGCTGTCAGTCCTAGATAGACTTAGAGGGACTAATTTTAGCGCTTAGGAAACAGTAGAGCTAACAGTTTGTGCTTATGGAAATAAATGCTTCTTGCTCTCTGCTTGCCCAGGTTACCCATTTGCCCTGATATACCGGAAATGCTTCTTCCGCCGGCCCCCCTGCGCCGTCCACCTGTTCCACACGCTGTCGGGGCTCGCTCTGGCAGCCTTCAACTTTGGTGAGATAGAGGGCATCAAAGCACAGCTGGATCCAACCACTGCTGGCATTTATACTGTTACCTAGTTTTTGTCACTGAGTTTTTCTTTACAGCAACGATTAAGAGTGTATATATAACTGTTAAGAGTATATATGTTAATGCTACTTCGGTGCCACGGTTTGTAGTATTTTGGGAGCCTGGTCGATCGTCTGCTGTTTAGTATTTCAAGGGTAACGTGACTGGAAACAGGGTATTGGCCCTTATGTGTGCAGGAAGCATGATGACTAAAGACCCCAATTGCCATGCATGACAATAACGTTGACTTAACATTTCTGTTTCCACAATTATGGCTGCCCTTGGATTTAACAGCAGGTCTGTGACCCCTGAGTGTGCTTGTCTTCATCTCACTTCTGCCCTTTTCTCCATCTTTGTTCCCACCCCATCCCCTCCCCGGCCAGTGCGTTGTGACCGTACTGTGGTGTCCACGGCACGGGCAGCACTCTGGTGCACTAACGCTGTCTCTCTCTACCCCTCTCTCAGGCTCTCAGCTTTATCACTCCGCAGTGTGTGTTGTTGTCCAGTTCCTGTTGCTGAGGCTAATGGGAAGGACAGTGACAGCCGTTTTAAGCAGCTTTCTATTTCAGATGGTGAGGTCACTCTCTTTCTCTGCCCCCGTGCTGCTGTGGTGCAGCTTCAATGAAGGATTGGTCCCAACATCCCCAGTTGTGGATCATCACAGTATTTTTATTTTGTGTTCTGCCCGACCCATTCCTGTATATCGCTCTATGCATCATCTTCCTCTCTCTCTCCCTCTCTCTCTCCCCTCTTCTCTTTACTCTCTTCTCTTCTCAGACTTACCTCCTGTGTGGATATTACTACACAGCGACAGATCAGTATGATATCAAATGGACCATGCCCCACTGTGTGCTCACACTCAAGCTTATTGGTATGTCTCTTCTTGCCTCCTACACTGTTATTTGTTTTTTCAATAATTTCTCTTTTTTTCCTCTCATCTCTCCTCTTGATTGCCGTTCCTTTCAGTCAATTTTAACAATAAGAGTGAGGTTCTCATTTAGGCCCTTATTTTGGGGTGTGGGGGTGGGGGGCCCTGTGAAGAACGTTATCATTGGACTGTTTTTCTCTTTCAGGTTTATCATTCGATTACTATGACGGTGGGAAAGAACGAGTGAGTCGATCTGTCCCGTCCGTCGATTGACTGTTCACCCGTCAGTTCGGTTAATGATTGGCTGTTGTGATTTGTAATCTGTTTCTTTCCCTCCCTTTCCTAACTCTTGCTCTTTTCTCATTCTCCTGCTCACTCAAGCGTGTCTGTGTGTGTGTGTGTGTGTGTGTGTGTGTGTGTGAGTGACTGGAAGGACAGGTAACTGATCAACTGGTGAAGTAGCTTTAGGACACAGACTAATTTCTTGGTTAAAGGGAAGGCTAGTCTTTGCTATGGGACTGTTTTGGTGAAGTAGCATACAGAGTCTGCAGTGTATCTGTGATTTGTGAATGTAACCTGTCACTGGTCATGCATGTGATGTGCTATATTCTGCCCATTTCTTGTTACTCTGCTCTTCTCTGTCGTCCAGTGTGTTAGTTGATAAACAAATGTTCTTGCTTCTAAACCCTTAGCACTGTGCTTCTTTTCTGTGGAGTGTGAGGTCATCCATGTGTCGCACGACATTAGAAGCCGGTGCTCTCGCTTGGCGCAGTCTCTTAACACCAAAATGCTCCACATGACTGGATCTCGAGCTGTCTGTGACTTTTCACCGTTTCGGCTCCGTGTCGGCTGTATAACTCTCAGTAGGCCTGGCAGAGGTTGGCTTGTTGGCTAATCCCGGCACCATGATTGGCTGCAGTGTTCTCGGATCATTCTAACAGCTGAAGTGTTTATGAGTGGGAATGCGGTGGGCATGGCCGCACTGTGACAGCTGTCGCTCCCTCCCCCGCCAGTCGCAGCTCAGCGCAGAGCAGCAGAGCTCCGCCCTGTCTGCCGTCCCATCTCTCCTGGAGGTCTGTGGCTTCTCCTACTTTTACGGTGGCTTCCTAGTGGGTCCGCAGTTCACACTTCGCAGCTACCAGAGGCTGGTCTCCGGGGAGCTGACTGACTGTCCTGGACAGCCACCCAGCAGGTGATTGGCACACATCACATTACAGCACCCAGGATGTGCTGTGATCGCAGCCCACTTTTACGCCAGTGGCTCCTATCAGAACAACGAACCATTTTTGTGAGCTTCGCATACGTCTCTCACTTGTGCTTTTTGTTTATTCGAGGATCCTAAGGCTCGAATTGTCCTCCCCTGCAGAGACCCTCATCCGTCTGTTAGAGGCTTATCTAACCCGTCTGAACACATTATTCTTGCTCTGTAGCTTTTTCGTTAAGGATTAGTCTTTGTCCCCCTTTTTTGCCCCCCTTCCTCTCACACGTGTGCCTCTTGGCAGCCTGACTGAAATCAAACTCCCGCTAACAAACTGACCCAGACCACAGTGGCCCCCATCCAGTGTCTGTTTTTTTTTTTTTATCCATCTAAGACACATCGCGGCTGTGGTGCAGTGTGATTTTAATTTAGGCGTCCAGGACCGATGTCCTCTTGGCTGATTTCTGCTGCTAGGATAATTCTGAAATGATTCTCGAGGCACCGTCCCACCCAGCCGGCTGAGCTTCAGCCTTTCGCTGACTCCTCCAGGGGGATTGCATGGCGACAGCAGCACAGTGCATGGGGGGGATTGTGGGTCATCGTGCTGGAGCTGGCGTCTGGTTTATCTTGTTTGATGCAGTCAGGGGGGATGGCGGTGGGGGGGGTCGGACGGGTCCCTGCAGTATCTCACTGATACTGGTGGGACCTGCACATTCAGATTTGTATGATGAATGAGTTCAGCGAGTCTTGGATTTTTTTTTTCTAAATTTTATTTCCGTTTTCAATCCTTCGCTCAGTGTGCTTCCGGCCATGAAGCGCTTCTTCTTGGGTCTTGTCTGCCTGACGATTTTCACTGTGGGAGGTCCCTATTTCCCAGACAGCTACTTCCTCACGGAAGAATATGAGGTGAGTGGTGCTGCAGTATGAGCCACCCCTGTTGGGGTGTCACCGACATTCATGGCCAGTGCCGAGTGCATGCAGTGTTCTTATCGAATGATTCTTTGTCTGTGTCAGGCTCAGCCCTTCTGGTTCCGCTGTTTATACATGCTGATTTGGGCTAAAATCACTCTGTACAAATACGTCAGCTGCTGGGTCATCGCTGTGAGTATCCGCTGCACACCCTCTGCATGGTGTCCTGTGAAACCCACCCGGCTTAGATCCTCTCTGTCTTTCTTGGATTATGAGGAAATGCATAACAGGCCTTTTCTTTTCTCTTGGGTATTTCGAAAGGGGAAAACAATATATTTACTGAGGTGTTTCCTTTGGCCAATAGGAAGGAGTGTGTATCCTTTGTGGGATGGGCTACAATGGAAAAGATGAGAAGGGCGTGCACCAATGGGATGCCTGTGCCAACATGAGGGTGTGGCACTATGAGACCACGCCCCTCTTCACTGGCACTATTGCCTCATTCAATATCAACACCAATGCATGGGTGGCCAGGTCAGCATCTCACCCTCTCTGACAAGTAGCCATTTTCCTTGCATGTGGTTTATCCGTATCAGGCTGACGGTATCTCCCCTACCCTACCCCCGCCTCACCCTGACATGATCTGACAGGCATGTTTTTAAGCGGTTGAAGTTCCTGGGTAACAAGATGGCCTCCCAGCTGCTGACATTGCTCTTCCTGGCCGTCTGGCATGGCCTCCACTCCGGCTACTTGGTCTGCTTCTCCCTGGAGTTCATAATCGTCAACGTGGAGCGGAAGGTAAGCACCGGTCCTGCTGCTGCTTCACTCATCTCAGGAGTGTTTCAATGGTTATGGAAGCGCACTTGTAATTGAAAGATTGCTGGTTTGAATCCCCGACCAGGAAGGCACCACTGAGGTACCCTGAGCAAGGTACCGCCCCCAAGCACTGCTCCCCGGGCGCTGAATTAGCTGCCCCCTGCTATGTCATGATGTCACATATGGGTTAAATGCAGAGAACACTTTTCGTTGTTGTGCACTGTGTGCTGTGGTGTGTCAACAATGATCACTGATCGCCAAATTCTCTCTCTCTCTCTCTCTGTCTATATATATATATATATATAT